CATGGAGTCTGACCTGTGTCCCATCCCCACCTTGTCACCAGCTCTGAGAGCTGAGTGCCACGTCCAGTCATTCCTTGGACACCTCCAGGGATGAAAACTCTACCACCTCCCTGGGCAGCCCCTTCCAATGCCTGACCACTCTTTCCATGGAGAAATTGCTCCTGATGTCCAGCCTCACCCTCCCCTGGCACAGCCTGAGGCCATTCCCTCTCCTCCTGTCCCTGTTCCCTGGAGCAGAGCCCGACCCCCCTGGCTGTCCCCTCCTGTCAGGGAGTTGTGCAGAGCCTCAAGGTCCCCCCTGAGCCTCCTTTTCTCCAGGCTGAGCCCCTTTCCCAGCTCCCTCAGCCTCTCCTGGTGCTCCAGCCCCTTCCCCAGCTCTGTTCCCTTCCCTGGACACAAATTAAAGCTCTCTCCCAGCCCCAGAAGGTTCCAGGATGGCAGAGCCCCCAGAAGGGAAGCAGGAGTGATTCCATTCCCTCCTCCAGCACTGAGCCAAGAACCTGGAGCACTAAACTGGCACAAAATCAGCAAAATGGAGTGTCCAGCAAAGCTGGCCCTGAACTCCCCGATCCTCCAGGTTCAGCTGCAATCCAAGGCCTTCCAGATACAGCCCAGCTGGAAAATCCTGCTCCCTGAGCTGAGGAGCCTGCCAGCTTGTGAGAAAGAGCACAGAGCCCTGTGAGATAAGAAAGGTAAAACCAAGGACAGAGGCTGGATTGTCAGGCTGTGATAGGCAGCAGCAAGGGGACAAGAGGAAAAACACCAACAAGAGAAGGCAGAAAATCCAAAAAGGGGAGAAAACTCCACCCCAGTGGGATGATGGCATCTGAGCAATGTGGAGGGCTCATTCCAACAACAGCTGAGGCTGACACTCCCATCTGATGAACCCCCCTGAGGGCAGCAAAGACACCTTGGGTGTCTTTCTCTGTGGGCAGCACAGGCTTGCAGCTCACTAGGTCAGGTTTGACAGGGCTTGGAGCAACCTGGGATAGCAGAAGGTGTCCCTGTCCATGGCAGGGTGTGGAATCAAATGATCTTTATTGTCCCTTCCTGCCCAAGCTATTCTGTGATTCTGTGACAGCCCTCACCTGTGTGTCCTGAAATTATTTAAATTGGAAAAGCCCTTTAAAATCATCAAGTCCAGCTGTTCTCCAGCACTGCCAAATCCACCACTAAACCATGTCCCCAAGTATCACATCCACACACCTCTGGAGTATTTCCAAGGGTAATAATTCCACTGCTTCCTTGGGCAGCCTGCTCCAATCCTGCTCACAGAATCTCCATGTGTGTCAACAGAAGCCCCCAAAAGTGCTCGAGGGAGAGAGGGAGGCTCACAGGCTACTGAGGAGTTTGTATGTTCTCTATTTCTCATGTTATCTGGATTTTAAGGTTTTGTGGGGATGGTCTGTTGCCTGATTTTGGTTATCTTTTAAATATAAATCCATGTCCAAAGGACTGCAAACATGAAAAGCCAGCCTGAGGTCCAGAAACAGGCTAATGGGGGAATTTTGGAAATAGGAATCAAGGGGAAGAAAGCAGGAGACATTCCAACATCCTTCCTCTCAGAGGCAGCATGGTGCCATCGCTCCAGGGGCTCCACGAGTGTTCTTGTCACTCTTCCCACTCTCCACCACTGCCTTCCTTCTCTCCCTTGCCATGGATCCACATCCAGAAGTGCTGCTCCTTCAAAGCTTTGTGCTGCAGCTTCTCCCAGAGCCTGGGGATTGATCTCCCTCCCACCCCCTCCCACACACGGGGTTTTTGTGTTCTCCTCCTCTGCCCTGCTGAACCTGCAAACCCTCACCACCCCCCCTGCTTGGAGAGCTTAGGGGCTCTTCCCAGCCTTTCAGAACACGTGGGGACACAGCAGGGGCGTGCTGTCCCTTTGGTTCCCTGCTCTGTCGGGGACAAAGTTCTGCCCACAGTGTGGGATTGGGGCAGAGCAGCTGCCCTTAGTCCCTCTGACAGTCCCAGAG